ACATTGTTTTAGTGAATTTTACAAGGCATGAAAAAAATGAAAGGGTCTAAAAGAACAAAATATCGTTGTAATAAGGACCCTTAGGACTATAAAAATATGATATTGGAATTGTTATCGGTATTTTATAACTGGGGGAATGAACTCAAAGACATAAAAGTATAAAGATACGACAATCAATACGTCAACAATTTCCAATAGATGGCTTTTCCTCTGTTGTTACGACATCATAACAACAGAACAAACAATATTAAACGTTTTAAACGCTATATCGCAAGCTTATAAAATAAAAGCATATTTTTTGAGTACAGATCTCTAATTTTATTTAAATTTTATACACACATTATCGCGTATTTCCGTTTTTATTGTTAACATGTCTCTGTTATGCCTGATTCCCCCTGGATATTTTTTCATAAACTATTTTGTCAAAATGCATTTTGTCGAGTCTTTACGGTTTCTATGTCTTTGATGAACTCTGATACCCTGAGTTCTTCAAGGGCATACAAGTTTAAATACAGGTCAATGATTTGATATAGCTGTCAGGTGTAGGTCCCGTCCTCTTCGAGGTATTTTGAAGGTCCTAGGAGCATTTTCCAAATTAACACGAGCTGCGATAGCGTGGTCATGATCACATTCATAAGACGATCAATAACTCATCTGGTGTGAACATCTGCAACGCTGAAAGGTTTGTCCCATAATTATCCTATAAAGGTTCAGCCGCATTTGAGAGATTTTGACCGCAAGAGGTCGTAATTTGCCTTGAGCGTTATTAAAATTCAACAGAATTTTAATACCGCTAAATTTTTTGTCATTGCAGATTCTTTGCATTTAACACACGCATTTTCGCATATAATTTCCGATATAAGTTCATGTTTTGTCAAATATGGTCTAAAAAGGTCCCGTACTATTTCAGGTATTTTGAAGGCCTTTGGCACATTTTTCAACCAAAAAGGCTGTAATTTGGAGTTCTAAATTCTAGGAGGGGAACATTGTAAATAAAGGTCGACGTTTTAACAAAGTCCAGCTATTATGTTCCGTCGCCAAATTCGGTATTTTGATTAAAACAATTCTTCGTTTAACATTTTTAATTCAGGTCGCATTTGAGGTGTTTTGGCGGTCGAAAATGAGCCTATATTTTCGAAATAATGTTTCTGTAATTTGCCATTCCGGGTTCTTAGTGGGTAAAAAATCTTCGTTTTGAATATAGAACCGTGTTTTGATTTAATAATTCCGCCAGGATATTTTATGATATTTTGAAGGTTTTAGTCTTTTTCGTGAGCCTGCAATTTGGCATTATCTCCTTATCATGATTAAGAAATCTGTACAAAAGATAGATCTGTACTATATATTTTTTATTTGATAATACAATTATGGCAGGTTCTACTGTAAACTAGCACACACACACACACTTACTCGGCCAGGAAGAAAAACCTGCACACAAAAAGACATGAGCATACAACAAAAACCCATTGAACTGTAGGGTTTTTTATGCACTCTTCTACAATGTTTAGCCATTCATCTCATCCCGTCCATATATTCATCAATTTTTATGGATGGGTATGGGATGGGTACTACTGCGTTACTCTTTCCTGCCTTGTAGCTTCGTCGATGAACTATACGAAATAAATATTGAATTCCCATGTTCGGTTGTTGCCATGGATTTGTATATTTTTTTTCACTTTACCACAGCCCAAGTCAGGTATTACCCCGGACGGTGACTTAGTCACACATGGTTTTCTTTTTTTGCAAAGAACAAATGGTAGGAATTGTAATAAATTCAAAAAAAGTTTCGGTGTTCACTTGCTAAAGCGATCATCATTGCCAGGGATGGTCGGTGATGTTAAGAAGTTTTTGACATGAGTGACGGCTGTAACAATGAATTGAATGAAGATGGGAGATTGTAACCAGGGGCTACGTGGTTCCATTATGCGGATGGTTGAATCATAATACTTGACATTGCTATGACATTTGACTTTGATGCATATTAATATGATGACCTGGTTTTTTGTGTTTGCTTCTTCGCGTGGCATATTAAATTAATAAATGTTATACGTTGACTTTGGAAGTTGTGTCTTTACTTTGACCACCTCCATTTTTCGAGTGTATAGCCCTTTTGACTACAAAAAATTACTTGAATGAAGCATTCCATCAATACTCAATAAACTCCAAATTAATTCTTAACTAATATTGTATATTTGAGAATCCATTCACATTCATTTCGAACTCGATCAACAGCAGGAGTCGCAACGTCTCTCCAGCCTCCATTCCAGCGCCTACCACCGAAGTTTGTTTAATTCATGAGTTTGCGTGAAAAGCTCAACACAGTTTATGAAAAACGATCTGTGAGACTACATTTGGTTCTCGGCATTCAGCTGGTCATCTTGGTTTAGTGTTTTTGTTGTTGTTATTGCGATTTTTTCTGTTTTCTCCTTAAACGATGGTCATCAATGTTGTTGTGTTCTTTCTTGTTCGTCTGTTGTTGTTTAAAGCGTAAAATGTACCTCCATCTGTGTCTCTTGTTGCGTGAGATAAAATAAATGAAGGTGTCCACATTGGAGCGGTTTAACGAACAAACCACCAGCGCTGTATTATCGTCTATGGATGTTATGAATATAAATGTAAGCCGGATTGAAAATCAAAACTACAGGAACGACAAAAAATTAAGAACTAATGACTACTGTTAGTCTCAATCGTCAATTGAAAAAAGAAAGGAGGTGGGTTGGTATGGGCATTTTTGGGGACAATGTTTGTGTTGTGTTCACTGGTATAGTATTCGAAAACCTATTCTTCTTAGATGACATTATTGGCAATTTAAAACCACAATGTATTCTTCATAGGCTCTTTTCGATTGACAAATTGAATATCTCCTAAAATCTTCCATAGAAATCTGGAAGGTCTTTCTCATAGAATTCTATATAATTTTCGAAAAAATTCCTAAGGTCAGATGTTACTTTTGTCAAAGACTAAAATATCACTTTTTAGAAGATCAGAAAGACTTTCACATAAAACAGCAAAAGGTCTTCTCCATTGAAAGCCAACAGATATCCTTCATGGATGCCAGAGGCTATTGTGTTAAAATACAATCGAAATCGACGACCAAGGGTCCAGCAAAATCGGTCGCTATAAGCGTTATATCGTTATAAATGACAGGTACTTTCCATTAAAAACCAACAGGCCATCGAGAATGTCATCCTCATAGAATATCAGAAAGATAACCAAATTGTATTTTTTAAGACCAAAACGTATTCTTATAGTAGTCAAAAATGCATTTCTTAATGCATGAAAGGAGAGAAATAACTAGAAATTATTTCTCATAGAAAACTAGGAGAATGTTATGTACAGATAGCATTTGGTATGGAAGACCAACATGAAATCTTATTCTGTTATAAAAAACCGGGAAAAAAAATCGGACATCAACCTCATTACAGTTTCTCGTTTTAGAAGACCAGGAGGTCATCACCATAGGAGACCGGTCTTTCTGATAAAAAATATAATTTACATAGAAGAAGAAAATGCTCTCCTTTAAGACTGAAGACAAGAATAAGTTTTTTATATAGAAAAATAAAATTTTTATTAGTTGAAGACCAGAACGTCTACTCCTAGTAAAACAGGTAGTCTTCAGAAGGACTTCTCGTATGATTTCTCTTAGAGGAAATTGAACGATGTTTCCACAGAAAATCTAAAGTTATGAACGGCAATTCACATTGTGATTTAGGTCCCTGAGTAATTTATGGGTGCTAAATTAACACGTGAACCGTTTATATTAATAAAATTCCCAAAATTCTTATAACACCCTCGTCTTGTGACAACAATGACTACTGTTGTCGCCCCAGTAATCATCCCGGTATGATTCCGAGGATACATTATATCTGACAATCTTGTTTACAGTTGTCATTAATTATGCATCTTTGGAATAGACAGTCGAACAGCAAACGTGGAGTGCCCGACTACGTCTTCCTCTTCCACGACAAAATGGGAAACAACGGCCACTGAAGCTAAAAAATAAAACCAGAGATAATAAATAATCAGTTGTGTAGCATCAGGCGCCTGCGCTAATGATGCGCCACACAAAAACCAACAACAACAAAATCGACAATCAAATGGGAATTAAAGTTCTGTGACGTTGTTGTGATTTCTGATCGATAAGGCCACAGAAGAAGTTTCCACACGATTTTTAACTCCCCAAGGTAGACATTTCCAGATGATGTAATATTTGATATTAGACATAAAAATAAAACGCAAAATATTATTTTTTTTTTCAATATTGGATTTAAATTTTTGTTTTATATATTTTTTGTAATTTCTGTTGTTTTTTATCATTTATTTATTTGTTTTAAAACTAGTTTGTGTGTTTGTTTTTTGTCTTGTTTGTTGCTTGGTTTGTTTGTTTAGCTTAGTTATTGTTTTATTATTTTGTTTTGTTGCATTCATTAATGTCATTTTTATCATTCTTTAATCATCTACAATTCATCCATTCTTCCAATACATTACAAATTACATTTCATAAAATTCATAATCATAACTAAACTACATATTTCTATATTAGATTTATTTATTCTTTTTCTTGTTTTTGTTTGCTTATAATTATATTTAATTTATAATTATTAATAATAATAAATTCTGTATGACTACATAGCTAAATATTTATGTATATATGCAATTACAAGTTCTTCGTAGGCAGAACTCCACCTCTCTCTTCAATGAGTTTTCACTTCTCTTCTTTTGCTATTAACAAAAATCTATTTATAAATTAAATTAAAAATAAAAATTGTAGTTGCACATTAGTCTGGGATTTTGTTTGTTCTTGTTGTTTTAATTTCTATTTAAGGGGGGAAAATGAGTTCAGTTAAGACTTTTAAGTACAATCAATTTCAAAATACTTTTTGCTGAGAACTTTCAATTCAAATGTTTTGTTTTCGTTTCTATTTTGTCGTTTTCCTTTTATTTAACTACACTCGTTTTAGTCCTGGTTTTGTCCATTGACTTGGTCGTAGTTGATTGGCTTATTGGTCATCAGTTCCATCTTCCATTGCAATGAAGAAGTATTTGTCCATCCGTTTTTTTGTTTTTATTTTAGAACCAATACAGGTCCTTTGAGGATTCTTGAACTTGGGCTTCTAGACCTGCAATTATAAAATGGAAGAGAAAAAATTTAAGAATTAATTAAATAAAAAATATAAATTAGAATTTGATAAATGGAAGAACAATAGAGGCATGTCAATATCGATCCATTTTCTTGAGCCCCCCTATTAAGGTCACAACCTATACAATCGTGGTGCCAGTAATTTAACATTTCCCGTTGTTTTATGGAAAAAATATTTCAATATAAGCCCACGTTTAGTTATAACCTCAACATGACTGTAGTTCCCTATTTTCGCTATATTGAAGGTTTCAACAGCGCTTTCTAGCCGAAGTGACTGTAAATTTACATTATAACTTCTTGAGTGAGTGAAAATTGCAGATAAAATTGTCAATATAAATCCATATATCAGTTCTATTTATGGTCGTAGGCGCATTATCAAATCTTAGTTGCTGTAATTTGGCATTCTGAGATTTTGGATGGCGTAAAACTTATTATATAACGGTAAAGTCCCATTTTCGGTATTTTGAAACTTTTAGGCTCATTTTCAACTGAAGTGACTATCATTTTGGAGCTAGAAAAATTTCTGTGCTGAAAACATTCCATAAATCCATTCCATAAATATTTTAACATAGACCATCGCCAACTTTGTGTGTACTTATTTGGTATAGATAGTACAATATTTCGTACACATTTTGTTCGCACCAAGTACGAATGTGTACTTTCTGTGTACTTTCTGGTAAAAAATTCTATAAAATCCTAATATTTTATTTTTTTGCACCAAGTACATATAATTAGATGTACAGAATTAGAACTTTTTGGTACAAAAAATATTAACTAAATTAATCTGTACAGTTTTGTAAAAAATATAAATGTAGTTGATATCGACTGTAGTTGATTTCGACTGTAGTGCAAAGGTACTAAAAAAATACTTATACGAACTTTCCAGTGAGAAAAAGTGTACAGAACTAAAAACATACAAGACATTTCGAATATGTATTTTCCCAACGCCATAAATAGTACAAAAATAGGATTAATAATAAAGAAGGTACAAAAAAGGTACAAAATTTCATGGAAAATGGTAACCTCTTACCTTTCCCTGAACTTTTGAATTTCGTCGTTTTGGCCTATTTCGATTGTAGTATCATAATATTCAATGGTACTGCAAATAATAATTTTGTACTTTTCAGTACAAAAAGTATGTAGAACTTATAAAAAATGCAATCTTTCGAATACGTATTTCCTGGCACCATAAATAGTACAAGTTTGTACTTTTCTGTACAAAATATATATGGAACATTAAAATGTTAGATTTTCGAATCAATATTTCACCATAAATACTGCAAAATAAAATAGTACAGAAGAATGATAACCTCTTAAATTTCCGGTATTTTTGAATTCCGTCGTTATAAACGACATCGATATTTTGTACTTTTCAGTACAACGAAACCCTAAAAAAATCTAGATCTTTCGAATAGCTATTTCCTTACACAAAAAATAGTACATATGCTACAAAAAGCGTACAAATTTTATAAATCCATTAAAATGAACATCGATAAGGAATGAATGTCGATAATCCCTAATGTTTAACAATATTTGTAGTCTAATTTTTCCAAAGATTTAATAATGAAATACCTTCAAACTCCCGAATTCTATAGAAAAAATCAATCTTAGACTGAATTAAGAAAAAAACATGAAACTTACCGGCCATTGTGGGGTAACTAGAGTAGGCGGCAGCACTTTCGAGCGCATGTGCTGTCTGTTGATCATGATGCAGTCTAAAAAATAAATAAATAAAAAACAAATACAACAACAAATTAATTTTTTAAAATCTTAAGAATGAAAAAAATCAAAATAAACGATTCTAAATCTAATTTATGTAAACATTCTGGTGAAATTCGTTCATTTTCAATTTCATTTAAAATCCGATTTAATTTTCTTTAATATCAAAAATTTACCTTGAACTATGGCTATACTGTTGGGGCAGACGCAGCAGACTACCATATTGGGCCATATTATGATGATAGGCATGAGCATGGGCTGCATGGGCATGGGCGGCATGAGCATAGGTGCCATAATGGGCAGCGGCATGAGGTACCCAGGGATCTGTGGCATAACCACCCTCCGATGAATACAAGTCGCTCATCTGCAAAATACGCCAACAAAACATAAATAAATAAAGGACATTTTAAAATTGTGTCTGTTTAGTTTGACATTTTATTGCCCTTAACTCACCTGAGGATGTGTGGTGGCTGTAACAGGATGCACATAATTGCTATTCCAAAATGAAGGTGGGAAATTTCGCGTAGACATAGGAGTTGTGGTATCTGAAACGAAAGATAAACACAAAATTACGATATTTTATTTAACAACATAAATAGAATGGAAGTGAATCATCCAACTTTGGTGACAATAAACGCCTGATTAAGAACTAATGCCTTGAAACCGCTGTAGCATTGCGAAAAATGTTCAGCATCTTCATTATGGTCGTTATGGTTTGTTGCCTGCAGAACACCACCAACTGCCAACAAGTTTCCATTTGATTAAAATCGCCAACCAAAAAACGGGCAGGATATCAAATAGGGGACGACACATGGATCGGGGGAGGAGGAGAAGGCGGTGGAGTCGTACCAGCACACTCCTCGTTTACAACAAAGTGAAGCGAAACGAATAACGAATTCATGAAAATTTGCCAACATGTGAAAAGTGTGCCTTTACTAACGAGTACACAGGAATGTTTCTTCATCATTGCATCTGCAAGGAGGAGGCGGCGCGAGAGAGGGAAATCGTATGCGATTCTCATTGAAAATGGAAAGTCAAATGTGGTACATTTTTAGGAATGCATTTAAGGGCACATATAGTGGAAGTGCCGTGCAGTTCCCTTTACTCATCATCACAACGGCGGTATCTCCAAAAAATAAAAAAATACATATATTCCCAATACACACGCACACACACACACACACACATTTTCAACAAACTGCTGTTGCATTCAAGATTTGGAGAACAACATTCCTGGCAACTTGTTTTCAATACAGTTTGTGATGTGATGTTTATGCATGTCGTTCTTCGTCGTGCTCCGCATGGAAGGACCACAGCTGTATTTTGCCTTCAAAACATAAAATAAAATAAAAATTGCTAATGGTGGGGTGCTGCCAAACTACCAACCAACCAGCCAGCCATATATCCCCATCCAACCTTTTTGTCATTTCTTACAATTGCAGAACTTCGAGTTTGAATGAATGCTCGCCATCATCGGCATCAACCATGAGCTCCAATTGTCGTCATCATTGTCGTGGCTGTAAAACGTTTTCTTTTTGTTTTCCTCCACTCTCTGTGCTTCGTGAAATTCTGATGCGTCTTTGATGCTTTGCTTTTAAAGCGAAAATAAACCGCTTCGGTTCAGCAGAGTCATTAAAGCAAGGCATTTTAAGCAAGAAAGGATATACGTGTTGGTATGCCGGAGGACATCAGCAGCAAAACGCCAATGACTTATGGTCATATTATTTCGAACTACAAAAGGATTTGGCGACTAGGCGGGTTTTTTTTAAAAAGTTATTTGATTTTTTATTTGAATATTTTTTGTTTTATTTTCAAATGAAAAATAAATTCTATTACAGAAATGTGAAATAAGTTTTCGAAAAAATATGAGTTTCATATAAAGATGAATGAACCGGCGTTATGGCTTGAAATTCTTCAGATGGAGGATATAGGCAGCACTACAGATGAACTCCTTCTTATTGCAAATGTGTTATATCGGTCCACGATTTGCTATGCCCCCATTTCGGTATTTTGGGGATGTAGGTGACCTACTTTCTATTGAATTGAAAGTAATTTGATATATGGGCTCTCCTACGGCAATACATATACATGCTAATATGAGTCCAAATTTCAGTATTTTCCCAACTGAATTGGCTATAGAGCGGAACGATTACAGGTATTTTAAAAATAAAGAAATCGAAACGGCTGAATTAAAAAAAAAATTGAAAAATGAGGCCGTGTCGTTGGCTATCTAAAATTCACAGAATTGTGGAAACACTTATCACGGATTTTGCACCAGGTCACACGCCTCAAACATCGTATTCACTGGCATTAGTCCCCACTGAATTCTTCCTCTTCCCAAAACTGAAAACTCCGATTAAAAGGGAAGGGTATTGGATATTGGTTATACCAAAAAGTGGAAGAGGAAAATTATGGCATAAGAGGGGGCTTAATTGGAAGGGGACACAATATTTATAGATAAATAAACGATTAATTTTTTGCTCAGACCTTAACGGTTGATTTTTGATCAGGCCTCGTATTCATTTCGCGAATTTTTCTGTCCTCAGTCGTACGGCTAATGAGAGTATATACGCTCTGATACGGCAAACATGTGCCTCATCGAAATATTGGTTTTAGTTCCTATGTTTCTTTAGACCAAATCCGTTTCAGACAATTTGGAATCTTGTTCATCATCGGTCACCATAATTCTCGAAGGGCGTAGCCGTCTTCATCCACTCTTTTCACATTCACATATTTCTTCCAAACATAGTTCAAGTTCGAAGATGGGGATTATCGGTCCACTCCTTCTAGTCCCTCCCCCGCAAAATGGTAAAAATTGTGCTAACGGACTTCCTGATTTTAACCAAACTTTGTACAACTTATTATTCTTACCAAGCATAGAAAGTCCGAAGATGGGACCTAGTGGTGCACTCCTTTTGGTACCTCCCTCACAAATTTTTAAAGATTTTCATTATTTATAAATACAGTATCAGGATGGAAAGCCCATCGCAACCTATTATCTTCGCCAAACCTAGATCAAGTCCAAAGGTGGGACCCGCCTGTCCTTTCCTCTGGTGCCTCCCCCAAGAAAGGGTCAACATTTTGTAGACTTGTAAATTTAATTTGAAGCGAATTAAATAGCCGACTTGATCAAAATAAAATCCGAAACCTCGTTCAATTCCAAACCATAGGCTGTGGGTATATATCTGTAGAAACACCGACTGAACTTTTTTACTTGCTAATGTCTACATTCATTATGACATTTGTTCGGCAAGGACATACATATCTACCGTATCTTTTCATCTTTAAAAAATTGTCATCCTTTCCCCTTTGTCCCTGAATTCAAATGTGTAACAGTTAAATGAATTGTAAGATAAGTCGATAAGATAAGATAACTATTTCTAAAAAAATACCACCAACGAGGTGGTCAATTTTGAATTAGTTCTCCTTTTTTGTGTGTTGACCGAAAACTCATTTCCCTTTAGGGCTCATGATTCTTATCTCTAATTGCACTGACCTTTTGTCACCAAAACTAAGACAGGTATCTTAACAACGAATTTCCAACCAAAATTATTAAGACATCAATGATTAGGAGAAAAAACATACACACAGACACCACCAACGCTGTTGCACCCTGTGACGTTGTTGTTGCTACTGGACGGCATCTTTAAACATGTTGTTTTGTGGTAATTGATGCTAAAAGTCAATGATTACAGCAAACGGCAACTGACTACTGGTCTTTGGTGTGTTGGAACATCTATCGACATCAACGTGTGCGAGCATTCAATTTCTAGCTACTACTGTTCTGTATGGAATTAACACAGCATGGAATGGGAGCTGAAATGGGTGCCTCTTCTACCAAATCTGCCAAAAGGTGCCAAGCAGCAAAACTCCACAGTTGTAAAATACAAGTTGTCTTGACTTTGTTACTCTCCTCCTTTACGCTCATACGAAACGTATTTTGTTTTTGTTTTGTTTTTTTTTTTTCATTCACAAAAGGAAAGGACCTGTTCTAGTAGGGCGGCTCACGTTTTGTGTATTTGTGGCACACGAATACTTGTTATTTATGTTAACTGTGTATGCGTGACATTAATATGGCATTATGTGTGGCAAAGAGTGTATATATGTATGTGTGTGCTCGTTAAGGTAAAATGGTGGTAGGTTGGAATAGGAAATAGGAGAATGTTTTGTTGGTCCTTCGTTGGTTTGTTTGGTGGTTGGCTGACTGGTAGTTACCATGACTAGAGTTCAGCTTGTGTTGTTGTTATTGTTTTCTTGTGCGTGTGTGTATGTGTTTCTTAATGAAAATTCTTCAGCGTCATTCTTCAATGATAAAACGTCGCATTTTGTCGACGTACATGAATAATAAATGAGCGTTTTATTGAACTTTTGCTTGTAAGTTTTATGCTAGGCCGTTTATACATAAATATATTTTACTTGATATTGTAGAGCACCAACCTGCACCACGACCACCAGGGCCAGCTGACACGGTGGCGAAATGTGAAAAGCGTTGCAATTGTTTATCATCGTCAACGAGCAGTTTAATTTATTGCTATTTAGAATATACATTTTTTGTTTTGTTTTTGGTTTTGTCTAAGGTCGCTTGTTGTTGAATGTTGTATTTAAAATTAAATATATGGTGTACCTAGAACAGGTCGGTAGCATGACAATGATGTTTGCAAGAAAAAAGGGGAACAGAAATTCACAATGAAACACAGAGATGTTAGTATTTTTCTGGGCATTGGCTCAATATTTCGACTGATTTTTTAAGAAATTTTAATCAAAGTCAATGAGGGATAATTTTGGTAACATCCTTTGCAAAGGTCGACATTTTAATAAATCTAAATAAATGCTTTGTTTTCCCCAGGCAGCAAAGTATACAAAATTTCATTTCGGGGGACCCGGGCCGACATACCAATCCCGGCCATTTTACTCCTTACCATATGTCGGGGAAAACGCGAACTTTTTTTCTAAAAAATAATCACTTTTCAAGTCCAATTGGGTCTAGGAAATAACATTCCTACCAAGGCTCATAGAATTTCATTACTGTGACCATAGAAATATGTACAAATGCGTCGTTGCCCTGATTATGCTTGAAAGGGTGCAATCGATACCACAAAAAATGCAACTAGCCTTTCAAAAAATCCCGATGTCATATATGGAAACTATATAAATACTCTGGACCCTAAAGAAATAATAAGGAACCGATGTTTAAATAATAAAATCATAGGGCTTCGGAATTGTTTCTATGAAAAATGGTTTAATTAATAAAATCATATGCCTTCGAAATTGTTTCTATGAAAAAGGGCACTCCAAAAAATTAGCTAATTTTATAAATAATTTAAAAAAATCTGAGATTTTTATCATAAACCTATAAAAGTTCTTAACCGGATGTAGCAGGTATTCAACACCAAATATCTCTAAAATTTTTCGTATATTCTTAGCGGAGAAGTATCTAATATCTAGTGTATTCCTTACTCTAAATCGATTACAAAATTGTTAGCATCCTTACAATAAATAGGCTACGTGAGAATAATATCAATTCCAAATACCCGAAATGTGTGTTACTGCTAATAGTGCACCCGAGCAAACATAAGGCAACTGATGCCCGCCCAAAACCACAACTCACACACAAAATATTTCTCAAATACTTTTGTTTACGAATTGAAAATTAGGAATTGATTTTTTATGATCACTTACACGACTTATTTACATTTTATTGCTAAATTTATAAAAAAAAAACGAAAATCAGAAAATGAGTGGAAGAGGAATGTCCAATTAAGAAATAAAAACAAAAAAAAAATGTCGAACATTTGCAAGCTTAAGGTGGCTTGGCTGTTTTGTGTTGGCGGTTGACCGACCGACCAACTGACTGCCTTGGTCTGGTCTACTCCGCTTTGGGGTGCTCTTTTGGGTGTTGACAAAACATCAACGAATGTTTTTTGGCGTTTTTCTCGTCTCATCTCGTCTTGTCTGGTTGACGTGCTTTTCTTGTTGTTGTTATTGTTACATTGGCATTTGGTTGTAAAATGTCGACGGAATTCTAAACGCTTGCCAGTTTGCTCCGTTCATATGCCAATGGCGAATACCATCACATGCCACTTGGATTCATGGCGGTTTTTAAATGCATTCATTACTCAATTAGCCAACGACCGCCGCACTCTGCTAGCCAGTCGGTTAGTTACTCAGCTCGCTAGGCTAGCCCAGCTAGCCAACCAACTGACGACAATCGATCGCAGTAGTCGTATACCATCCCACCAAAAGCCAAATACTATGACGGGTGTACGAATAGTAGGTATGAATGTTTGTATGTGCTTCCGTATGCACATGTGCCCCGGTAAAATTCAAAAAAGAACAACAACGACAATTGCATACCTTCCCCTTTGAAATTTCTGTAAAATCCCCTCACTTGAGCCAACAAAACAAAAAAGTGGGAAAATACAAAAATATCACAAAATGAAAACAATTTAAAAGCAATCACATTTGTTATTTGGCTAAAAATACCAGCCAGCCTCAAAACTGCAACCAGCTGAAGAAGTCGCCGAACATAAGCAGGGAAAAAAGGTATTTTTTCGTGTCGTTTCATTTTGCTCGCATTGGTTGAAGAAAATATGGCTGTGTGATTGCAACTCAAATCTACTCGCAGTCGACAGCAGCAGCAACAACAACAAATATGTGGCAGTTGTTGTTGTATTGGCAATTGATGGTAAATGGGTAGTATGTACCAACAGCTTTGGCCTGATCTGGTCTCCTCTCTCTATCTCTTGACTGGGTTAACAGAATTCAGCCACAATTCGCCGTTCGCCGGCGACGATAAGAAGAACAAGCAACAATTTAATTAGATGCCGCTTTGATATACTCGTAAATGCAAATTCTTTGAATTGCATGATTTCTTTTTTTATTCGATTTGTTGTCGTTGTTGTTCGTTTTGTTGCCTTTTGGTTTTCGATTTCTGTTTTTAGTCGATCGAACACATTCCATTCTATTTTTGTTCGCATTTAACCGACAAAAAGTCTCTGAAATTTTGCTTGCTTGAATTATTTTTGTTTGTTGTAGGAAACAGAGAACAGAAAAAACACACAATAAAACAAAATCCCCAACAACAACAACACAACGAATTAAAACAAACCTCTTCAAAAAAAAAAAAAAAAAAAAAATGCAGACCGAATTGCCCGTACTGTGTGTTGTAGTACAACGACAAGTTCGACGATTATGGGCCAAAGTATTTGCTTTGCAATGTTCGCTGATATGCTCAGAAAAATTCAAAATTTTGTTTTGGCATGGCAAAGCAAAATGTTTGAATTTTTAAATAACCATAAATAATAAAAAATAATAAAAAGATAAAGTGGTTAACAAGTCGAAATGGATTAACTCCAAAAAATATTCATTTATGAAGTTCGTTAAACAGATGTTTTTAAATCAGAGTTTGAAGAGAATCAGAGTTTGAAATCTGGGATAATATTAATAAAACACGTTAAATATGAAATTGCAGTAGTCGGAAAATTAAAATTGATTCCAATTACGTAGACAGACATTATCAAAAAATTTTTTTGATATAAAAGGCGGCAAGGTTTTATATAAAGGGCGGGATACTACATTTACAGAAACAGCTTTATTAAATTGGGTACATTTTATTCGTTTCCTGCAAGTGTTTGGTCCTAAAAAGCTGAAGGCTTCTCTATAGTGTCTAGAAAACTTACTCTTCTTAGGACCTAGGTTCACATATCAAAATGTTAGAATATTTCAAAAAATCAGGACATGATTACTTTTGTATTACATGTATTGAAGGAAGGAAAGGACTGCAAATTAATTCCAATTTTTTTTTTAATTTTTTCAAAGGCAAATTGAAACGGTGGCACAGGAGACGAATTCATTATTCCTCTGCTATCGAATGATTATGTTGTGAGGGATCCAGCAAAGAGAAAATTCAAATCAAATTCCAAATCTCTTTTGACAAAAACTTTTATTAATATGTTTCAGAACAAAAGAATATTTCACCTGATCTTACAGGGTAATCCAATAAATAGACACAATGAAGCTCACCTGAATTTAAGAGTTACGCATGATATAAACATTTAGCTAAGTTTACAAATTAAAAAATTATTCCCTAATAAAATCTCGACATGGAACACAATCTCCTAATAAAATTATAATTTGTCAAAAGTTTGACAATATTTAAGAAACTTTTTACCACCATGTGACACATATAGATGATGTAGTGGTAAAAAAAGTACTTCAACAACAAAAAAATATAAACAAGCCGTCCACAAAAGACAATCACGGGCAACAGCAAGCCAGAAAACGTTCCATTTCCAACTCTTTGGTGTTGAGATTTTATATTAAGATGTGTGGCGGCATTGTCACAGTGGCTGTCACTGGCAACAGCCCCACATCCCTGATGACGATGATGACGACGTTGACAACCACAAACAAGCATTAGGTGGCACAGCTACTCATGTTATGTGTCATGTTGGCACTTTTTCTAAGAAATTGAAAACCGAACGAATAAAGAAGACAGTCGCGCGCGATTTGGACATGAAATGGGCCCTTTAAATGCAATGAAGTGAAATGTATCCTGACAAAGTAGGGAGATCGCAGTTTACTCCCAATTGTTAATGAGCAAATGATATGTGTAATTTCGTATTTCATTAAATTGAGGCTCCGCATCAGCAGAGCAGCCCCCATCAACATCGAGTAAAATCTGTGCATGACATTTACATGACAGCTTGAAACACTTTTGATCTTAACAAATGATAAAGTACTATGTCGTGGACAAACAAACAGACATACATGCATTTGAGAGAAATGGAGAGGCAAATGTCTTAATAGCTGTAAATATACCATACATATGTTGCATTTGTTACATACGCCACTTTTATGATGATCAACAATTTTGGAATTGAAATATTGATTTTAATAATGTATTATTTATGGGAAATTTCCCTTAGTCCCGAAATTGATTAAAAAGACGAAAAAAATATATGCGCTTTTTTCTCAGGTACTCACCTTTACTACTATTAAGAGCTCGCGAGAAATGTTCATCCACCACGCTAGCTGTATCACCGGAATAATTTGTAAATACGACGCAGGTTGCTGATAAATACTGTGCTCTCCCCTGACCGGCATTTATGCTGCCCGATGTGTCCAGGGCCATGTCTTTGGGACCAGGACCACCGCTAGGGTGCATAGAATGATGGCGCGGAGAATCGGGACCAGAGGAACAAGATGACTCATTATGATGATGATGGCCGCCAACTAAACGTGCTGAAAAAAAAAACAAAGGATTAAGAAAAAATATTAAAAACATTTATAAATTATTAACACAAATATTAATAAAAAATGTAATGCATTTTTTTCATAAATTATTTTTTAAGAAAATTTAAAATTTGTTTAATAAAAAAATATGACTTTTAATGTCAGTTCATTTATAAAAAAAAAAATATAAATCGCTTTTTTATTTATCATCATAATTCGCGTATTTTCTGCTTTTTGCCTTATTGTTGTTGTTATTATTATTGTCGATATGGCTGTTATTGCGTGTTTTTGTTGTTGTTTTTTTTATAAATGCTTGTCTCAAATTTAATAAATAGCATCAGCCAAGGAATTTGTTTGGAATTCATTCCGACATACCAGTGCCACTGTCACTGGCTGCCTACTTTTGTCTGCTTTGGTTACTTATCGTAGATATGTATGTTGAAATGTTTGTTAATATACATCCCTACTGTTCTGTCTATATGTATAGTGAGTTTGTGTTATAAGAATAAAAAAACAAACTATCTGAAAAATTTGCAAATTAATTAGCAACGTGTGCTGCTGCTGCGGCAGTGTTTCATGCGAAGGAGTTAAATGAGCATCACTGGGCAGAATATTATTAATAGAGAGGGTCCAATATTAATTTCTGGTGAAAATAACCTGCCAACAGGTATTTGGAAGAGTATTAAAATTTCATATTTTTTTAATAGAACTCTTCTGGACCCACTTCGACCGGACACGAAGTTGTGGAAGATCTCCAAATATTACATTTATTTGGCAATGGTATATACTCTTAAGTTATTTCCCAATTAACCTAGAATCGTGGTATTCTCTTGTGTGAAAAGTATGTCTCTTTCTTGGGCACTAAATGTACATTAAAATCGGACTACTTCCCCCTGGCTTCTTACTTGGATTCTCCATTCAAGTTTTTACTTATTTTAGACTCTCACCGTATACTCTCTTTATCTCTCTAAAGCAATTGTTAGTTATCTTTATAATCTTTAATTTTAACACAATTTCTTCTTTCTATCTACCCCCTTCCCTCTACTTATTCTCCCACTTATATTATATTTCATATCTGTGCAAATATGACGAGTATCGGTTACTTTGTTACATTCAATGGTTCATAGCTTTCACAGCTACAAAACGATCCAAACTTGTAACAGTCATATTTGTTTAATCACAACTTGACAAAATGCTGTTCATTTATAAATGCCACAGCATCTCAACGTCTCAGCTACTGTTACGACCAGAAAATGCTAAACGTTTAGATGGACTCGACACCATATTAAATAAAACGACATTCCAAACATTTTTTTGCATTTGTTGTTGTTGTTTTTGTTGTCCAGCATAGAGTACTGCCTACTGGTGTGCTGGTGGCACACAAACGCACGCACACACATACACACACACACACTGACTTCCAAATGGTAGCCTACACGCTGTTGTGGAGCATCATTATACGCGCCACCACACCACATGCCCACTCACTTACTGACTGGACGCATGGATGGATGGATAACTGACTGCCCGGCCATATGTATCCCTGTTGTGTCCAAAAGAAGTCATGAAACCCAAAACAAAAAAATCTCGGACGCATAATTCTGAATGATTGAGTGAAACATTGATTTTTACAAGCGAACCAAAATCAAATCATATTTTGAGTGATTGAAGCCAAAAGTCATTTTTTTGTTTTGATTTCGGTTTGAGATTTAAGCCACACTTTTCTCCATATATGCCAAACATGATTTATTGTGTTTTAAATATGTGATTTTTTTTTTTTTGAACACAAATAAATGATTTTTGAAGTAAAAAATTGTAAATTTTTGGAGATGAGATTTGATTTTGTAGATTTGATTCGAAATCTGTAACCATTCTTTTTTTAAAGTAGATTGCATTAATACTAAGGATTCTGGATTAAGGATCCATATATTGAATCTCAAAATGCAGGACTTAAACGGCATATAAATTATAACTTTTTCCTGAGTTAACCTACTTTTTAAGAATTTTTTTTTTTTTGACATATGTATATGGAATTGAGAACTTAAACCCACTGGTTAACGAAATCCAGTACAATGTAAACTTATTATTATTTAAAATCAGCGTTCCGGTAACATTTTCCAACCGAAGTAGGTGTAATGTGGTATTCCCGATTCTTAATTGATGAAACTCTTCTGCGAAGAAATTTTTCAATATACAAAGGTGCATGTTTTTACATAGCTTCCATATTACAGCAAGATTCCATTTCCTAACTATTAAAAAAAAAAAAACTTAAAAAAAAAATTTCGCAGAAATATTTTCAAAATATGTCATTGTTTTCACATAGACACAATGGGCCTATGACCCACTTTTGGTATTTTAAAAATTTAACCAGCATTTTTCACCAAAATTGCATTCATGGTTCTTGTTGGGCCAATAACTTCTTCGCAGGAAAATTTTGATACAAATGTTATAATCCATATAAGGACCTAACCTAACACCTAACAGAAATTTTGCAATTAAGTGTATGATTTGCCAGCACATAAGGGTCCTGACCAATTTTTTATGAGTATGTACTTAAGACGTTTATTTTGAATGGGGTTTAAGTCTATATTTTCTTATGTTGAGATATTTGAAAGTTTGTTTCAAAAATATTGTCAAGTGGAATTCATTTTGTTTTTGACTTTGTGCCTTTAAACATGATCGAATATATAACGTAATATGTTTTTTTAAACATTTCTAAAAAAAAACAACATTTGTATCAGAACCTAAAATGGACTTAAACCACTTTTAAAATAAACGGCGCAATCGGTCGTTGTACGCAACAAAATCTTTCGATATTTTACCTACCTTCAGCTTCATTGCGCGCCACTGAACCCAGATCTTCTTCTTTGGTATGTGTTCGGCTGCCGCTGCTGTGTAACGTATTGCCTAGGCTGCTGGGACCCATGAGACCGCCACCCGTCGTCGCTCCGCCATGTACCACTCCAGATCCTGACAGATTTGAACCCAAACCTATACCAACATTGCCGACCAGACTACCGCCATGACTACTACTGGGAACACCACCACCACCGCCGGCTCCAGCTCCGCTACCATTACTACCCGCACTCAAGGGTAAATTTGCACTTAAACTAGAGGATGAGGAGGCATGATTTGCAGTTTGGGCCGCTGCTGCAACCACAGCAGCCGCTGTATTGTGGGCAGCGGCAACAGCTGCCGCCGCTGCATTTGCACTCACCGATGGCGGTAGAATGGGACTGCAGGGTGAATGTGAACTGCCCGAGGCACTCGATGAGGCCAATTGTACACCCGACGATGAATACAAGTCTTGGTTAAACTGGAACGAAAAAAATAAATAAATAAATTAGCAAAAACAACAATAACATACAACAAAATCACTTAGCAAAAAAGTTCATTAGCTTTGCATTTTATTTTATTTTATTTTTATTTTGGCATTGTCTCTTAACCAATGTCGTTTTTGCCAAAGTTAATTGCATATGACACATTTAGGCTAATTTATGAAAATGGAAAAATGCACACACACGTACATACCAACCTACATGAGTATCTATAAAACATGTCAAACCATAATATTTATTATGTAGGCAATATCGCCCCCTATCTTCTCTGCAGGCAGGCAGGCAGGCAAAATAATTATAACAAAGCCTTTTTCATTCAATTTGAAAATAGACACAAAACGTGTATAAGGTTACATACTTCCCTACATGCATACATATGTACATACTGTATGAAACTTACACACATCAACTGCCATTAAAAATTGTCTAAGAATGCCTTAGATATTTGTATTACGTACACACATACACATCTGTGTATATATATCTAATAATAAACATAAGTATCGACCGGTGAAAATCATCCGCTGAATGCCATCCGTACACATCTATGGAGAAACTATTTTGTTATTGTTTTTTGTGTCGATTGGAAAGTGTCAATAGAAAATTGTTTTGCAACAAAAACGGAAATATTTTAATAAACAATTTGTTGTGATATTATATATTATTATTATTTTTAGTAGCACAATAACAAATTGTTATCTTCATTTATGGATATTACAAATTAATCAGTGCATTTTATGGCAAGCATAAATGAACATGCATTCATCCATTCATTCATGTGAATGCATGTTAAAATAATTCATAAAATTTTGTGAATGAAACAAAAAACAACCGGGTTCAAGATACAAAATATATTTATAGATTTTTCTGTGCGTAATTTGGAATATCACTTGAACTTGTATATTATATCCGGATATAATGCTTTTTAATTAATTTAATTAATTACTCAGATGAGGGAGATGTTTTATATATTTTATTATTAATAATATTGTACAATAACGTGTATGAAAACTAATAATTGAATAAACATTTATTTGGTAACCAACTTCATCATTTTAGCGAAATTTCTACCAAGCAATTTCTTTAGATTTGGAAAGAGGAAAATAATGCCTCAGGGCTAAATATGGACAAGCATTCTTTATTTTAAATTTCGACTAATTCGACAAAAGTAAAAACTGTTTGAGTCTAGAAAATTAATATGTTGTTAAATAATTTGAAAAAAATTTAGTATATAATAAAAATTAAAAATTTATAAAAATATTTTAACGGTGTCTACTTAAAAAATATTTAATATTCTTTTAAAATATCTAAGCCTTAAAAATTATTTTTCCACTCCTTGAAAAAAAGTTCTTCTGAAATATCCAAAAGTGAGGGTTAATATATCCACCTTTAAATTTGTTTAAATACCCACGCCTTGAAAAATATATTTTATAAATATCAACGACGATTTCTTAATAATGACTGAAGCGTATCAACTCTATTTTATTCAAATTTTAATTACAATAGTATAAACACATACGTTTTATTGATCATTTAAATACTAAAATCCAACTCAGTTTTAAACATTTGAAATTAACGGTTAACTATGTAAATATTTTGTAAATAGTACTAAAAAACTACATCTGTGAATCTACTACATTATTACACAACCAATACTAGACGATGATCTTGCTTCTCATAAGTAGTACCTAAGCTCAATTTAATTTCAATAAAATCAGCTTCACTCCGAGTCCTGGACTATCCGGCTCTATTTCGCTTTAGCGAACACTGAAGGCTTAAGATCATTACCCACGCTTGCCCAAGTTGATGGACTAGATCATAAGCTGGAAGTAGTTCCTAAAACAAGGATAGCCAACATTATTTTAAATCTTGGTGTTTCGAGTTGCTTTATTGACGCCCAACGTGGGGCAAGCCTCATTGAAACCAAAGGAGCGTTCTTTATGACTCAAATATTGTAGTGGAAATGGAATTTTCTCACATCGAAAAAGGGATCGCGGTTTATGGTATAAAAACTACATTAAAATCAGTGCTTTACTAATATCTAAAAAATCCAACATTTGAAAATTGTCTTTACTTAAATCAATTATAGCAAATCTATGCGTTAACATCCCAAAATATATGGCTTTTTATTTGTTGCCGAAAATTCGAAATTTTATACTATAATAGACAGGAAACATATTAATAAATAAATCAGAAAATATTTCCTACATTCGACGCAATGTAATAAATTAAGAAAAATGCATATTCGATATATTTATGTGTCCGCACATTTTTTCAACAAAAGTATTAACATTAAGTCGCCTAATTTCTAAGGTCTTAGGTCTTGAGGTCATGTTTATCATGTCACTGAAATAAGTCTCCCCCATCCTTTTGTCACCTCATTGCTAATGTCAAATGCACACATGTTTGGAGGGAATTTATGTTGTTGCCGCTGTTGCATTCCCTTTGCCATTACTATCCCCAAAAATACCATTCGTGCATGGCACACTAAAGGCATCATTTAATTCTGTCCCATTTTGTAACGAAAATTATTTTCAACTTAATTTAACACCTTTTAGTTGTCGAACTCTATCTTTTCCCCCTTTTCCTCTTCGATGTCGGAGTCAAAAGCAGCCACGGACTTTAAGTGGCAAACAATAATGGGTTAACCCATAATGATCACCTAATATGAGATTTATGGGATTTGTATTCTCCACACACTCAATGACAGTGGCACAAACATATGGCCCCTCTCGCCGCTCTTATTGTCACCTCATTTATTGATTTATGTTACGACAATGGCAGCCATTCAGGCGATACATTAAAGCGTGAAGTGCGGGTGCGCCTTTGCTTCGAGTCACGGTTTTGTTTACTTTGGGGAATATTTAGCACTCCATCCATGTATTTCCCCTTTCCCCTAATGATTTTTATTATTGTTATTATTACTATAATTTTGGGTTGTTTTCATAAAGAGTTTTTGTTTTACTCGCCACTTTAGCTGCCTGCTAATTATAATGTTTTGAAAACGTTTTTAGAGCTATTCGTTTGGAGTTTATTTGAAAATCTTGTTGTCATCTCAAGGGGTGGGAAATGTGATACAAAGAAAACACAGTAGTTTTCCTGTAATAATTGTGCCAAGTCATTATGGAAAATTAAGTTATTTTTAAGAGGCTTATTTAACACATCCGCGTAATGAAGATGTCAAGTTTTCTTTTACACTTACTTTAAGTATTCTTCTTTTATTAAGGAGGTTGTTAAAATTTGTTAAGTAGTTTCTAAAAAAAAAGTTACCGTTAATTTTATAGTAAAAAAAATCACAGTTCCCCAAGAGCTCGGTTTTATTTTTGAAATACTAAACAGTTACTGGTCTAAATTCGGAGAATATGAGGTCGGAGCTACCTATTCATAACCACATTCATGGAATTTCGGGACAATATCACACACATGGTATAGATTTTATAGATATTCAGATATATGGCGCCCAATTGGCCACTCTGAACATTCAGTGTCATTTGTAATTCTACGATCACAATAAAAGGCAGAACACTGTACACGCCATAAAATTTAGTGTATATTTAATTCGTCATTCTATTTGCGATACCTCGAAATGTACACCTAAGATCCCATTTAGCCATTTCCGACCTCCGGTCTGTTGAAATATTTAATCTATTTCAAAATATTTATCTTTAATCTGGCATATATCGGTCCATGTTTTGTAGAATAGCACCCATAGTTTTAGGCGCATCTTCCAACAGAAAGACTGTAGTTAAAAATTCAAGTTCTTGGAGGTCAAAAACAGAACATCAGCAATCCAGCCCAACCTTCTGAGACAGGTGGGTACTCAAATTCCAAGTCAGAAAACGAATGTAAGACCTACATCGAATATTGGAGGAAAGAAGTTTCAAATAAGATGTTTAATGAAGGTAGCTAGGATATTGTCAAGCTGACGACAAGAAAGAAGGAGGTATTTGGGGCAAAGAGGCCTGTGCAGACCAAGATGAACCGATGAAATGAGAGCGGTTCGTCCTGGATCTTCAGAAGAATAAACCTAGCCTTCCCTTCACTACCTTGGAAGCAATAAAGAGGATTAGGTCTCAAGAATATCAGATAAATGACAAAACTGCAACGGCTTTCCGACGGCTTACAAAAAAATTAAGCTGAGCCATTTCCTATTTAAAGTCCTTGGACTTAGGCGGAATCTTCCATAAAGACCGGGAATGTCAGGAAGCCGATAGACTGGAAAGCCGATCTGGACTATCTAATGTTTATGTTTGAGACGTCGTCAGGCATGGAAGCCCTGAGAAAATAGGAACATTGTTTCCACAAACGAGATAATCAAAATAGAGCTGGTGAGGATATGGGCGATTCCTCAACCACAAGAAACTGCTACCTCTCAGAGATTGGGACAGGAAGTTCACAATAAAACGCATGATCGATGCCTTTGTTCTGCACAACAAGACAGTGCTGGTGAATAAGTCAGACGACTTCTGCAGGAAGGAGAATGAAGATGGGATTCTACTTTTGGAAGGCTTGGACAAATCTTTAGTGACAACTCAGACCTACACTAAGTTAAGGCACAATACGTGTTCAACGGCGTCTCTTCCACAATTGAGAAGGCAAGGATTGGAGAAAAGTGAAGAATCCAAGAAGACCGTATATTGGTGGACAATTAATTGAGGACATCCAAATGTACCTCCATCGAAGTGAGATAAAATTTTGGTTTTATCTCACTTTTTGACTTGACTTCTCGCCAATTTTTTGCTTTGTTAGAATAATTCTTGGTTTCATAAGGAATTGAAATATGGACTTATATGGAAAATATTGATTTAATCTGTTATTATATATGGACATGGATTCCATCCATTTTTCAAAATTTCTTATTAGAGTAGTCCCAATTTCTTCTCGATTTTCCTACTCCCAACCAATCCCCCCGCCTCTGTTTTCCAACAGCATTTGTTTCATTATCTCTGTTCATCACCGCCTGCCTATATTTGAAATG